GAATCATTTTATTTACAACTCAAAAATTATTTATGCAATTTATCCTTATACTCACCAAATGATAGATATTTCTCTATAAACTTATCCATACTAAGGGTCTGTTTGAGACAATTGCAGCTTATTAAAAAGTAGCTGTAAAGCTGCTGAATAATAATCTGATGCTCAAAAAGTTGCAGTGGGTATTACAAATTATTTTTTTAATGTCAGACCACAACTAGAAAACTATCACCGCACCTAGCTAGGAGTGGTGGGAAAACGCAAATTTCAGCGGTAGTTTTTTGAAAAAGCTACCAAAACACAGTTTACCCAAATAAACAAAATTGTGGTGCGGTGCCGCAATACCACCGCACTGCCGCCCCAAATGGACCCTAAGTTTATTCCTTTTAAGACGCGCCAAAAAGCTGGCAAAATCCTATTAAATTTATTTGATCAATATTAATTTTTCACTTTTAAACAAAAAGTAATGCTAAAAAATCTATGTATTATTAATTCATCCAAAAAAAAAAATATAACATTCATTCACTGAATGTAAGAATATAAATTTGAACTACACCAAATATAATGCCTTTTCTAAAATCATAATTTAATCATGTCTAAATTGCAACATTTATAAATTTTCTATTAGCCCAATTAATATGTCCAATATTTAATCATTAAAATGATACGATAATTATCTTTGATACCCATATTATTACATGATGACTCACAGTTAAGGTTTCTAACAGATTATTAAGCATTATTTCTTTAGGAAAAAGAAAATTGAAGATTAACAGATTGAAATTTACCAACTAATCAATTAACTTGGCCTTTTAGAAATAAAGAAGCAACAGTAGATTTTCAATTATCATCAAATGGTCATAAAATTTTGAGAAATTAGAAAATTAAACAATATGATAAAAAAATTATTTTCATAAAACTAAATTTCCTATTTAAAATATTAGTAATTTAATTCTAAATTTCCTAAAAAAGTCGAACCATCACTACCAGATAGACTCCCTCGTAAGCTATGGAAATCAACATAGATTGTATGCTAAAGCCTGAAAATTAGCCCACTTAGCATGTGTATTGGACCGAACGACCATCTACAATTCCACAAACAACAAGCAAGAATATCATGAGGGCCAAGTTCATGCACAATCAAGGAAAATCAAGCAAGAACCATTCTGGTGAACTACACATCCAACGACCCCCATATACATCACAACTATGTTCTTTTTCCTTTTTCTTTTCCAATTTAAACAAGGATATCAAAGTCTAGCTCATAATGCTGAAAACGGTTAATGCATAATACCAAAGTCCACCACATAATCTATTTAATCAAATTAATAACTATAAATACAATCTTGACATAAAAGAGGATCTACGGATAGGTACAAGACAAGAAGCTGTATGAAAACAAGTAGATGGAAATAATAGGATATCTTTCCCAAATTCCTCACTAAATTAGAAATTTTTTATGCTAAAAAATACAGCTCCAGCTACTTAAATAACCAAATATAATGATAGATGACCCAAAGTTTAAAATATACATGCCACTCGTTCTAAATTATGAACACAAGCAACAATCTTTTTGCAATGCACTATATTGCATATGAAATAAGAATCAACTCAAGCTTATTTATTTCAACAATCATAAAGAGAATTGTTGGCAATATAGATAGTGATATAATTTTCACAATAGTGTTATAGGCTGAGTAATAGAAAAATCAAACTCTCCTAAGAAAGTTTTTACCAGCATTAATTTATTTATGAAGTTAGAGTTCTTTGTTTAAGCTATTAATTAAAATTGACCACAAAATTTTTTTCTTATTTTCTCAGATGATCAGAATACTTCCAACAAAAATATAATATATTGAACTGAACCTTTTATCATTAATGAAGCTAGTATAATCAACATAAATGAAGGCTTCAATGTTCAAGAATTCAATCAAGGTACATAACAATCTTTTCGCAAGAGATTTTTTATATACATAAAAATTCACACAACAGTTTTCAATATTTATATTTCGGATTGCATGTGCAAGTTAAAAACTCCAACAGCAAATAACATGTCAAGTAACAATCAAACAAATCAACCTTGTCCACTAATTTTTAATATTAAGACGAGTCATCTAGTTGCTCTACATTATCTAAACTGTTTTGATCGCCATAGGAGTATTAACTAACCTGAATCCTATAAGACCAAGTTCCTTAAAATCTTTGAAATAATGATACCCTTTTTTGTCCCAAAAAAAGATTCGAGTCATCCAAGATCTTTGGAGGAAGAACATTTTTTAAATGATTATTCCATCATAGCGAAGTTATAACTAGTTTCAGCAAATAAGATGTTATAAGAATTATTTGTAAGCATAACAAAGTTTGATATAATAGGTATGACAAATAAAATGATTAAGGGCTACTCTGAAAGCTAATTTTAGTAAAGGAATTTAGAATTTGTTAATTTGAGCTCATGAACTATTTAAAGCCATAAACATATCTAGTTCTTCCCTTGAGAAATACAATGAAGCGGTTACTTTATATAAATGGTCTCCAAAAGATATCATAAAAGAAGGAATAGCTACAATCTATTCGAAGTTAATATAGCCTTAATTGCGGGAATCTGAATAATGTTAAGCATAACTAAGAATAAAGTAACAAAATAATAAATCCCATAGACTTGAGTAAATTCTCTGATAACAAGCCAACATTATATCAATTGATAAAAAATGTTGAAATTTAACCACTAAAATATATAGACAAGCATTTGGTTTAAAGCCAGGGAGGGGGCTAAAACAACTTAATGCAGTACCCATCTAAAAATATCTGGCCTCTTTCCGAGAAAGGGGAATCCACTAACTCATAATTTGCCTTGGAGTAGATATAAAGGATATAGCCAAAGAAAATGTAGAAAAAGAAGAAGATAAATAATAAAAATCTATAAGACAGTGAATTAGGTGATTAGTATGTTTTCTTTTATCTTTTCACATAATAACTAGTACATGGAAATTAGAGAATTCATTAGTACATAGATGATTGGTCAATCCAACAATTTGGATGGACATGTTGCAATCAAAGAGGTTGAGGTTGTCGAAAGTAACCTTGTAGTGGACAACATGAAAGCCAATGACTAGTGTCCTTGTTTGTTGGAGTCAATCATTATCTTCCAAAGAAATTGTAAGCAAAGTTGAAGAGGAGGCACTAAGAGATGGGGTAGGAAGAGTCAAATAAGATATGAACTATGCTGAGCAATAGAGAGAACAAAATTTCTGTTTACAATGTACAAGATGATAGTGTAGCTGCAATAGGGGAAAGGGGAAAAGGTATTTTGACCACCACCATGGCCCCAATTATTCTTTCCACCATGACCACGATGACTCAAGCTACCTCTAGAGATGGCCACAAAAGTCAATTGATAGGGAACCAGAGTTTGAGGAGTAGAGAGCTTGGTGATGCAGAAAACCCAGAGGGAATGATCGCAACATTATGCACCATGGAGTCACTTATTAAGTAAGATTGTATAGTTTGCAAGAAAAGGCACAAACTAGAGATAATTTAGGCAACAAAAATATTTTTTGTTTTGCTATTGAAGAGTTGGAATAGTGATGAAGGCTAACATTGATGTAACTTATACTATTTGCATAGCAGAGTGCTATAATAATCTTGAACTTGCATATCATTTTGCTTAAAAGTATATATATCATAGTACAAAGTATAAATAAAACAACTATTAATCTTCTGAAAATATGTGAAACAAAGATAATATCACATTATCTTAAATGAATCTCAGAATCTTAAGGCATAATTTTTGAGAAAATTCAAGCTTCAAGACTAGTGAGTATCATGAAAGAATGATATAATTAAACACTTGTCATTCTCGAATAGAATTGTTAAGATAGAGGAATTTATTACGAGAATCAACAAGGAAATGAGATATTCCCAATCACAAGAGATAATGCCCACTAATTTGATGATGATATTGATGGAGGAAAGTTTCATCACAATAAGAGGAGAGGGAGAAGCCATAACACCATGGAGAAAGATATAGTGATTCTAAAAACTAAAATCATGGAGATGAGCATAAACTAAAAAAAATAGAAGCTAAGAGGTTGGAGTGCAAGGTGTCTCGAAAACGATGGTGAAGTGCCAATGGAGCAGATGCAATCAATATCGTGACCATCAAGTAGTGGATGAAAATCTACTCATTAGATTCGAAGTATGTGCAAATGTTAGGCAAGTAGAAACATTCACAAGCAAGCGGCTACACATCTATGAGCAAGAGCATCTAGGGTAGTAGGGCTATGGATGAGATCAATCAAGCAGGAAGCTAGAGGTTTTTGTGTTAATACAAGATGAAAAGAATGAAATATGTAGCGATACTATTGACTTGATAGAGAATTTGTGAATGAATACAAAATGATACAATATGAACAAAATAATTTGGAATAAAACCTCAATTATGAGAATATATTTCCAATATACTCTCCTAATATTACATGTTATACCTAATAAACCAATACTACTAAATGGGCCAGCATATGCCGACAACATCTATATCACAAATACATATTAAGAAACTATACATTCATAGTTTGGAAGAAATTTTAAAAATGACATTTTTTAAAAATTTTGTTCTCTTAAATAAAACTGGAAAAAAGTTTTTTATAAAATAAACTAAATCATCACGTGACGTGGTGATTTATGGAATCACCACGTCGACTGGTGATTCCTCCAATGTGGATCCACGTGGACACAAAATAACCACATGGCGTGGCTATTTTGCCTACTTTATTAATTTTTAAATCAATCTATTTTAAATATAAACTTTTAAAATAATTTTATTTTTTAAAATTTTGCCCATAGTTTAACATATAACTTGTCAGTTTGTATTTGACATAATCTGTGGCATAACAAAACATGTTAAGACAATTTATTTGCCACGTTAGTAACTCAAAAACACCATGCAAGTAAATTTGTGATAATCATCATCATACAAGCCAGTAAAGTTAGAATAACAACTATACCTTGATATGAACTTTTCGGTCCATTTTCCCTCCTCGACTCCTTTTATCAGCATCCTATAATTTGTAAAGTAAAGATAAAAAATAGGTGAAATGAAAAAGGTTAGTAAGATTAAAATAACGCTAGGAAATTACACAACAGTTTATTGTAAATAAAGAAATTGCTTAAAGTACAAAAACTAACTCATTCTTTTTTGTCTTGAACCGCAAGTCTCCAAAAGCACGGGATACAGATATGTCACCACAAATTCTGCCGTCAACAAGCTACAGAAAGAATGATACAACGATAGATCTATGTGTAACTTACATGGAAAAGGAACGAGAATAATCAAAGAATTTCTATAAGTCAACCTTTAATTCTTTTTTTAAAATAATCATAATTAATTTTTGCCATGAATGGAAAAGATCATAAAATCTTGCCAAGAAAAAATAAATCTTTCATGTTAAACACAACATGAAAGATAAATATATAGTGATCAACACCAAAAAAATCTTAAATTTCAAACACTTTTCAGCATGACACAAGCATGAAGATTTGCCAAATAAAAATAATAATAATAATAATAACATGCATGAAGGAAAACTTCGAAGGACTCAAATTTATGAGACTAAGCATATATGATTAATTTTCTAGACAATTGCCAAATCAATAATGAGGCAAGAACATGTAAGAAAGCCTTTCATGTCCATACTTGTACTGAAACACCTCTGCCATGCCCTATCACATGCCAAATACATGGAAAATCATGTTCATAGATTTTTTTTATTTTTTTCTTTTAAATATACAACGTTAGGGAACACTAGTCTAAGTGATGATTTTTTTCTTTTAAAATTTAGAAATATACAACGTTAGGGAACACTAGTCTAAGTGATAATGATGATATAAAACTTTCATATAAGCCAGATCAACAAACTATATTTTTCTATCAATGATGATAACGGTTTTTTTATTGAATAGGGTATTAGTGTTAACGATAATGGTAATAATTCCAAATGAGCCAGGCCAATGTAGTGATAGAAGGTTTTATTAAATATGATATTGGTGTTAGCAGTGATGATTTATTGGGATGCTAAATGTTTTGGTTCATTAGTGATACATTTTCTTCAACGTACAAAAAATTACATGTATTTTTAATTATAGAGCTTTTGTAGAAAATACAATGTAAATTTTGCCAAAATCATGCTTGCTTATTTGTACTAATGTTTGTGTTGTTGAAAACTAGTCTATTAAAAAAACATTTGAAAGAAAATGAAATATAAATAAAAGTAAATCATTTTTTTTTTGGTTATCCATAAGCCATTTATTGGATGCAACAAAATTACATTTTAGTTTTCCAAATCTTTCTTGAAAATATAAACTCCGTTGTTTCGTCATATCTTATATTAATAGCACATATATATATATATATATATATATTGTGTTCATGGCATATTGTGCCTATAACATATAGGTTTCCATTCTTCATAGAAATCACATTTCTGAACCTCTCACTGTTACAATCTAAAACGTAAAATTTCAAGGTTAGATGTTAGATGGATGCACATTTTACTCTAGTCACGTATTTTTGTTACAAACTGAGACTTAGAAAGTAGTTTCTACCATCAAAATACAGAATAAAAATATACTGCGATTTAAACATGCAACTTGAACCATAAGCTTGGATTTTCTGTTTATCTTAATTATAAAGTATCAACTTTCTATTCACTTCTTCAGCTAACAATATGTGTGCTACGATGAAGGCAATTCACTAGAAGCCAGAAAAAGACCAGTAATAATAGATAGGTTCATCAAAGAAAACCTAACAATATAGAAGCATGGATTGGCATATTGTAAAAATATTTATAAAGCTTAATAATAAATTTAAATTAGTTTTGATGTAAAAAATGAACAAAAAAAAGTTGCACACACCCATCCACCAGCTGCTCTAACCCGCCTTGCTTCTTCCATGGAAACTTTATTATTCCCAAAAGGTCTATGAGAATTGGTCAGAACTTCTGCTTTTCCCTTACGAGATAGCACCTGCATGCCAATTGCGTTATAACAAAAAAGAGAAGATGAAATTTTGAAGCATTTATTGTTATGCACGCATGTTATCATAAATCTACCACTTTCCATATGCCAAAAATTAATCATATTAGCATAAGTTTGAAAGAAATGCTACTCTGCCAATAAACCTAGCAAATAATCTCATGTTACATCATCACATAGAATAGCTGGACCAACAAAATCCTCTCAAAAGAAAAGTGCATAACAATCTCCCCATTTTGACTGAGCCACCAAAACAAGTGGATCCCAAATACTATTTTTGTGTAAATTCCGTTAGGGAGGTAATAATAAATTAGTTCAAAAATAGCATAAATATGAGTGCAGGACAATACCATGCCATATTTAATAACACGTGAAATGACAAGACAGCAGACAAATAATCTATAGTGCACAAAAGAAATTTAATATTTTTTTTCCTAATGAACATAACTTGTCGTGAATGGCATTAGAAATTGAACATTTGCAAATCTAAAAAGAAACCCAAAAATTGTACTATCTAACAAGAAACCCAAAAACTGAAATTAAAAGAGGATCGGTTCCCAAAATATGAATCCAACAAATGTTCAGGTAACTTTGTAAACAACGGATGTTAATCACGGATGGCATGAGTAGGCAAATACCAATGTGAAGGGCACAAGTTACAGTAAACATAAATAAATAAAAAAGCATAGTTTTTTTGGAAGTGAATGTAGCCAAGCATAAACTAAATTAGAGGAAAATACCACACTTGAGTCTCCAACATGAGAAATGATCAGGACATCAGTCCCAATAAACATTGCTGTAGCTGTTGCACCAGATTCATCTTCATTATGAATCTTTTCAAGCCTTTAAGAAGAAGGGGAAAAAACAAAAAGGAAACCAATAAATAGGACTCAGGTTAAAATGTCTTCTAGCCCATAAATAATCACTTACCAAGTCAAGAGTCTACCATCAACATTTTCAAAAGCTTTTGTGAGTGCATCTTTTATAGCATGAAAATCCTTACTGCTCAGCAATAACCCCCCTTGCAATTCATTCATACATTCCTTATATAGTTCATCCCTGAAACTCTAATAAGGAATTTAATCCGAAAAAATAAGAAGCATCATAGCGCATAAAGTATTGAATTATTGTAATTTCTATTAGAAACTTGAACATTTACACATACAATTCAAGATTAGAAAAAAATTTGCTCGAGACAATCTGTGCGAAAAATGTTTTTGAGATATAAAAAAGTTATGAATACTTTATAATCACATGTTAATGACATGCTTAGATAGTTCAGAATATTTAAAAGAGAAGTTTTCCTTTGACTGTGTTGATTGCTATGTTGCACTATTTAAAGGAAGTCATGGCAAAACATCAAAACTATATTGTAGAGCATTAAGAGCTCTATTCCATCACGAGCAAACTTTTAATAAAAATGAACTGACCAAATATTTTATCAGAAATTTTACATTGTTTATATTGGAGAGACTTTTATAGAGTCCATAAAGTAAAGAGCTTGAATAACCATAGGTGGTTATTTGGTAGTGAGATTTACAGGAAATTTACACTAAATTCTACCAAATTGTCTGAAAGTCCAAAGAAAAAAAAAACACTTTTCAAGATGTTGTTTTACCTCTATGTCGCAAGAAACTTCAGATTTACCAAACTATATTGTTTAGTAGTTTTAATGAGATTTTGAAGAAATTAATGAATCGGACACAATGTGCTTGTCATGATATCCCTTCTTCCCCGGTTTCTCATGGGCTGGAAAACCCTTAACACACCACCAATCTCCTTCCTGATCACTTGTTCCATATTCCCCCTCTGCTTCTTCCTTCAAGAGCAGTGACCACAAGGATGCCTACTTCATCCTCCACTTCTCCCATTGAGCTTAGGTGATCGCATGGGCGCCTTTTTTCTCCTCTGCTTCTTTCTTTGAGTGGTAGTGACCTCAAGAGCAAACCAAACACTTTTCTACGGCATGGTATGATCTCTATCCTCGATAAAATATAAAACTGCAATTTTTTTCACTTAAGCAAAGTTTCCAAAATATGTAATGGATATTCAATAGAGGATTAAGGTAGAACCCAATTGCATACATCTGATTAAATTGAAATGAGAAAGAATAACATTGCAAAGATGAGCAAGTAGACCTTAAAATGATTCAAGTTGATCTGTTATTGTTTGATTTCAATTTGGAAACCTCGGATAGTTCTTAAGTAATATTATGATAGAATCTTAGAATATAAGTACTCTTATAGATATGTTAATGATTTTAGTTGAGAATATGGTTCATAGAAAGATAAATATCTTTATGTATTCAAGAAACTCAATGGGTTAGAGAAAAGACAAGAGATTGATAGCTTAGGTTTTAAACTTTGGTATTCAGGTAGGAGTCATGCTAGAAAAGGTGTAGGTGTAATTATAGATATGAGTTTGAAAAATAATGGTATAAAAGTTACTAAAATTTGAGATAAAATTATAGCCCTACAAATTATTGTTGATACTAAGATTTTTAGTATTATAAGTGTTTGTGCTCTTAAAGTAGGTTTAGATAGGTTCAAAAAAAATATTTTGGAATGACCTAGAAGAATTAGTACAAATAATACCATTTGAAAAAAAAAATTATTGAACGAGATTTAAATGGACATGTTGGTAGAGCGGTGGAAGATTTTAGAAATGTTCATGGTGGTGACAGTTTTGGAGTGATTAATAAAGAAACTAGAATCATATTAGATTTTGTTATGCTAATGTTTTAATTAAGAAAGATATGAACATATTTGTTGACCTCATTTTTTAGGTCATTTCTGACCATCTTAGAAAACGAGAATTAAGACTCACCCATTTTAGAAATTCCAGACACTTCTTATTCTCCTGTGATGTCTTAGCATTTATGGCCCAGAACCATCGTCTTATGTACGAGCGGTTAAGGGCTATTATGTGAAGACTCAGGGAGAAGTTCCCAATAGGATTTCAAGCCCTAAGAAAACATTGTCACGACTTTTTCGTCACATACACACACCAAATGCACAAAATTCACAAAATTGCACGAGGTTCTTCAATTGAGCCTAAAAAATGGGTGAAAATGCGAACTTCTCCGGATGACCCCCAATGATGAAACGGGCAGTGCCAGCGCGTCCAGAACGTCAGAATTACCTAAAAAGGACATCCATTTTGTTATGTTGTGCCAATTAAAATGTGCAAATCAAATTTTTACTTTAAAAAAAAATTGCAACGATTTTACACACGAATTAAAATGTGCAAATCGAATTTTTACTTTAAAAATTAAGTATTTTCATAATTATATTTTTATTTATATAATATTTATAAAACCTAATCTCTATTCACCTAACCCACGACATTCGCGTGTTTCTTTTCCCTTCTTCGACTGAGAGCTGCTCGGCCGTGTCCTAACTCCCGCGACTCATCTCTTAGGCGTGGATCGATCGAGCGGCGCCATGGCTCGCCGAGCCCCATCTTCCTCTCCCCTGTCTGTCTTCTCTGCCATTCACACATGAGATGGCTCGCCTTCTTCTCCTCACACGCGGCATTCCACTGCTGATTGAGCATGCGACTCGCCTCTTCGAGCTCCACTCGACCGAGCAGCCCTCCAACTGCGAAGTTCCACCTGACCAACTCTTCCTTCGCCCTAGGCCGCATTTCCTCCGCTCTAAATGCATTTCTCCTCTTCCTTTACCTAATTCGGCTACCAGGGAGGCTGGTAGGTGACTTCTCCTTTCTCCTTTCTTTGCTATAAAGAACCGCATTTGGGGGAGGGTCTAAGGTTGGCCGACATTTCTGAGAGTGGGGAGGTGCTGCCAAAATCTCCTCTAATTTCATTCTTACTTGTTCTTTTCATCCTCTGCGGCGTGAGGGTTGTTGAAGTTCTCTGGAGGAAAAAAAAGGAGTGTTCTTGAGAGAGAAAATTTTGAGAGGTACTTGACATTTTTCTTTATTCCGTTTTCACAATTAGCAAGCGGATTTAATCCTTCTTTGTTGTTCGAAAGAAGATTTCCTTCCTCTCTGTCGTTTAAAGATTTTGCGGCTTGGGGAACTAGATACCCGAGAAGAGCTTTTGCCTGAGGCTTTCAAGAGAAATTTGTGTGATGTTTTCTTCAATCCTATTTTTAGTGCTTTGCTTTAAGTTTGCACTAAAGACGTATTTTTCTTCTTCTCCTCTGTTTTGCTGCCTTGCTCGAAACATGTTATTGGAAATGTTAAAATAGGGAAAAATGCTTGCATAAGGCTCTGATTTTGTCTTGTCTAGTGACTCATGATAATAAGCAATTGAATGTCTTAATGAAAGCTTATTATGAAGTTTAAGCATGAATGTTTGCTTAGGATCGTGAGAAATGAAGCATATATATCAGTTTCCCTTACTTTTCTTTTGCTTGAAATATGTGGAAGCATTGGTAGAGCATTTTAAAAATGCATTTTATTCCTCTCTATGACAAACATGTGTGGACTATCTTTACTTTCCTTACTTGAAGCACTTGAAAGTATGGCTAAGGTGGTCTTGGAATGTATTTTACTCTTTTAGAAATACATTTGGAAAAACATGTTTGGGGTTTATGTCTTGTTTCTCTTGCTGCCGCTCATTAGAATACTTGCTGGAAATGATTTGTATGTGCTGAAAGATACATTTGGGCTTATGTTTTATTTCCCCTTGCTGCCCCTCATCAGAATATTTGCTGGAAATAATTTTTTTATGTGCTGAAAGAATGTATTTGGGGCTCTATCTTTCCTCCTTTTGCTGCCCCTCTGCGTGAAATACGTATACATGACATTCCTTTTATCTTAAGGACTTTGAAGAGCTTGTTTGAAGCTTAGATTGGTGCCTGTTTTGTCCCTTTTTCTAGGCTCGATTTGGAGCTTGTTAAGGGCTGGTTTGATGGTTGTTTTACTCATATTTCCGGCTCTACCCGTGAGCCTTAATTGGTGTGTGTTGCCTTTACGGTTTTCTTCTTGTTGCCCTTTACTCGTGACCCCTACATGTTGTGATTAATGTTGAGGTTGGCTGGAATTTAATTTGTTCCTTATTTTAGCCTGGTCATGAGCTTTCCCTATGGAATTCAAGACAAGCCTTGTGTTGCTCAATTTTAAACAAGGTTTATGACTTAAATTATTGTGAGCAAAAATGTTAATACTCTAGTCACACTACAAACATGAAGAACACGAAAGAGAAGGTGCTACTCCTTGTTAGTTCTAGTTCACACCAACTACTCACGAAGATGTGTAGATCCACAAGACACGTGAAGATTTCTAGAAGAATTGTTTTTCGCAAGTTGCTTTTAGAGCAATCTCTTTATGAACACGTCGAGTGCTATATTGCAGACGAAGTTATGGTCTGATTTTGCAAACATTGTCGATCTTGAATCCAGTTAGAAACAACTTCACAGATACAGTTTTTACCATAAGGTTTCAAAATATGATACTAGCTTTTAAAGTGTAGTACTATTTAATAGAAGTGACTAGGTGATACAGGAGTTAACCAAACCATAATAAAAAAACAAATATTATTACTGAAAACAAATAGACGGTGTACAGGAGTTAACCAAACCATAATTAAAAAAAATAAATATTATTACTGAAAACAAATAGACGGTTACAACCAACACACTTGAACGAAAAAGTACAACAATTAATCTGTAATAGCGATAACAACGACACAAACACTCAAATAGGGTAGATCTTGAGTGTTTGTGGTGGCCGTTAAGAGTTTGGAAGGTGGCGACAAGGTTGAGAAGGTGCGGGGCTTTGAGGAAATCGTGGAAATGCAACGCCAGCTTGCTGTCCTTGGCGGCAACACACAGGGAATTACAGTAACTAGCAGGAACTAGCAAGAATGAGCTGTCCCGAGATATTGGAATGAGGGAAGATAGCAGTGGGGCGGCTTTCTGGAGGTGGTGGCAAATCCGGGAGAAGATAAGGTGGTTGGGAAGGAGAAATACTGGAGGAAAACAGTGATTTCCTGCAATTCCAAGTGACGAAAGTGAAGAAAATAGGCGGAAAGTGATGCAGGGAGGTTGGGAAAGGGTGGAGGGCGGGCTTGTTGGGAGGTAGCAAGGCTGGAA